ATTTTGAGGTGCAACTGAAAGCATGAGTGGAGCCTGTAGCTCCACCCCCCCTCGTCCTTTCTGGTACACTCTAGCACGGCCAAGGACGTGGCCACGGTGGAAGAAACATATGTATTTCTTCTACCGTGGTCATGGCCAAGTGTACTGTAGTTGCGAGCATTGCCGCTGGGTGGCGTCAATGTGTGACAATCTCGCTTAGTACTAATGTATGAGGACTGTACGCCCTATGGCCAATGCATAGCTTGCCCGCAACGTTATTCGCGGCGATGCCGGTATTTTATGTGCCAAATGTGCCACAAGTGTAGGATTCACCGTGTTAGTTTCACACCGCAGAAGTAGGAGCTCGAGAGAGCCAGTGAGTAGAAATAACCGTCAGCACCCTGCAATGGCAACACCTGCAAGCAATGCACATAAGGAATCCCACTGGGTGCCATAATTGAGCGCGTTATTCACAGCGCATCCGGGGGGAGGAAGGGGGGAGGGGAGCATGCTTGACCCGGGAGAGGTGCTCACATCCTGAGATCAAGCTCCTACCTAAAATCTGCAAAGAACGGCCATCTTGATTGTGTAGAATGCATGTTGCGGAAGCAATGTGGAAGTTAACATATTCAACATAGTAGACACAGCGTCCTCCGCCAAGTCACATTCAGGACTAAGTAACTCCACGAGAAAGCTATACTGCCGCGATTTGGCGCTGCTTCTTAGAGGCCGATGACGTGGCGGCATTTCAACGGAGCTTCACAGGCCGCCACCAGGGGCAATCTTAAAACCTGTTCCTCGTTTTAAAATTAGTTTTCCTGACTTTTCTGCCGGCTGCCCAGAAATAGAAGTCTAGATTAGTGTTTCTAGGCTGCCGCCACATCATAGACCATATATAAACTAAGAAATAAGAGCAAACATTTCGTTTCCATCCACTTTTAAAGGCCGACGACCAGACACGAGGTTCTGCAAGGCAGAAGATCCTCCTCACCCTGGGGGAGGAGGACAGGCAACGGTACACAAGGTGAAAGGAGGAGAGGAGGAAGCGGGGGGAAAGTGAAACGCGCGAACTTGTCGTCGGCCTTTAAGCACGAAAGCTCGAGCTCGCTGCTTTTAAGTGCTCTTCAGCAGAACATGCACTCGCGCTAGAAATGCAAATATCAAAGCCAGGAGCGCGGGCTAGCTCGCGCTTGTACCTTTGGCTGCAGTCTCAGCTTAGGGCGAACAGAGCATAGCTAGTATATTTTATTTTCCTTTGTCAATAATAATAATGATAAAAAAAAAAACGCAGATTGTTTTAACAATGTTCGAAAACCGTTAACTCGCCTAGATGCATGATTGGATTAAGAATGGTGCTGCAGTTTGGGCGGTAGCTTGCGCCATGGATCTTGCATGCAAAAGCTCGACTAGGCTACACTTGGCTTGGCTAAAGGGCACAACACCCTCAAACTTCCAATAATGCTCCGGAGCGCTCACTGGTGGCACTGGCGTTTCCAGAAAGGTATATTGGACCCGAACTCGATGCCAAAGGTCCTTAGACGCGTTGATTGGACTCGAGGCCCAGCCGAGCACTGACGTAGCACTCGTATCCAATCTGTATCTTCGCTTTGAACTCACTCTGATGACGTCAACAGTTTAGCGCACAGGCTTTGACTCTAGGTGGTGTTGCGTCAGCTCGGGCTTCATGTGCTGTTCGCGATTTACGTCTGTATCACGCGTTTTTTGGCATGACATTTTGGAAACGTGGCACGCGTGGCCTTGCTAAGCGAACACTCTTGGTGCTGAAGAGTGGAAGCCCCGGGATGGTGATATACTGTTCTCTACCGCAGTAGCGCTGGACAATAAACGTAAAATATTCAGCGCTTTATCACAGTATACCACCTATCACGGAGAACATGGAGCTATAACATGTTTCCCCGACACTTCGGCATACCAGAAAATGAATTATGCACATGTAACTTATGAACATGTCATGGATTACGACCGTTTCTGTGTTTGATTTTGCAAACTAAAATAAATATATATATATATATATATATATATATATATATATATATATATATTTGTGGCAAAATGGGGGGTGTGGTGCGCTTCTCAGCGAGAAGTTTCAATTTATAATTCATCCTTAAAAAAAAAAAGTGTTCTTGATGGGCCGGTCGAGTTTAAATGTTAAGGGAATTTCAGCTTTTCCTTGGAGCGGAAGTCGTGATGTCGCAAACTCCTCTACCAAACATTGTATTTGAAAGAAAAGGAGGCCACTTAAGAAAACAAGGTATGCACGGTATCGTATAAATACTCTCCAGCGACTGTCGAATCGCGACGAAAGTTTCGGTAGCGGCAAGCTTCATGCTAGCCAAAACGTCTGCTGCGCCATGCAACACGACAATGTGCGCACGCCCAGCTAAGATGACAGCACGTCTTACACTCTAGTGACAAAACAAATTTTTAGACAGTCGTCGCCACAGATCTAACAGAAAAAGAATCGGGGACACCTTGACGCACGCCGCGCAAGCTGTAACGTCAAGGTCCACGCACGTTTTTGAACACTTTAAAGTATGCCTATTTTAAAAGTGAATGGAGATACCGAATTCAGTACGGAAAATTACTCGCACGTCATACGCGCTTTTCGAAATATTTAGTTATCGATTGAGACACAAGGGAACTAACATAAGTACTCCGTGCGATTACTTGGCGAATCTTCTGCTCAAATCACACTCGGTACTACGTCAAAGGTGAGCGCCCGCGAGGTGGCGCTACTTAAACACCTCGTCGCTAATAGACTACGAACTCGTACGATCTGAATGGCAAATGCAAGTTCCAAAACAATGTAGGAGATACAAACCGTTTTCGCCATTCCTTGCACTCATCGTGCATGTCGTAGCAGGGACTCAGAACAGTGATGACGAATGCGTAGCACCTAACTAAAGGGCGTCTGTAACCCTTACGTGCTACGATTCGTTTCACTCAGGATGTACCACACCGGACGCTAGAAGCCGTCGGAGCCAATCAAGCATGAGGAGCCGCCACGTGCTCTTCCAGATGGAGTAGGGAGGTGCAGTTAGCGCGAGTCACGTGACATACTTGCAGCATTGGAGTGGCAATCCATCGTAGGGTGAAACGAAATGTAACCTTTGCAGTGAAGGTGTCTTGTTTTCCCTAGTGCACCTTTAAACGTTTGGGTGACGAAAATGAAGCAAGAAAGTTTTATAGAACGATAATGACACAGCGGTAAGGGTCAAGATAGAACCGGCGGTCAGAACAAAAAACGTTTTTAATTCTAGAGCCTTACGATGGGCAAACAAAGTAGGATGTCTCCCTCCCCCCAAACTTAATTGCACCATTAAACACTGCAACCATCAAGCAAAAAAAAAAAAAAAAAAATGATGGCGGAGACAACTTTGTAGAAACCACAAGGGTGGTTATCTATGCATGCGATAGCATTTAATGTGGCACACTCGGACACGTCTTCGGTTCCCCGCTGAATTCAGCGGGGAACCTGAATTTATGCATAGGTCACGTGGTCAATCTTTCCCGCTAAATTTAGCGGTGAACCTGATTCCGCTAAATTAAACGGGGAACCTGAATTGGCGCATAGGTCACGTGAAGTCAATTTTCTGTTAAATTTAATGGGGAACCTGTATTGATGCATAGGTCACTTGAAGTCAATTTTTCCGCTAAATTTAGAGGGGAACCTGAATTGGTGCAGGGACACATGTAGTTACATTTCCACAAAAATTAGCGGGGAACCTAAATCGGTGCATAGGTCACGTGAACTTAATTTTTCCGCTAAATTTAGCAGGGAACCTGAATTGGTGCATAAGACAGATGTAGTCAATTTTCACTAAATTTAGGCAAAGTTGACTACATGATAAGCTACATACACAGAAATCTGTGGCGAGTAGCTCAATAATGCTATCGCATTAATAGTCAATACTTGATGCTGGCGGGGTTCGAGACAGAGAAAAGGCTGATGTATGAACACTGGTACTTTTCGCTTTTGCTTCTTTATCCCTCCCTCAATATCTACATCAGTTGTCCAAATTAAACGCTAATTAGATAATGCAACTGCCACTCCATCCAAATAGTTCAGCCATGTGCACCTATCATCTCCAATCCCTTCTTTGCTTGACTTAAAGTCACTGGACCAGAGAAAGTAGCGCCACTGCCTTCCCACCTGCTACCCAGACACAAACAAATACCACCATACAGACGACAAAACCTGTCAGTGTGATTGGTACGAAGATGTATGCCATCACATGCGGCATCAGTGCTCGGAGACACTGAAGAACAATTTTCCTGTCTTGAAGTACGCAAGAGCAACATAGGTGCAAGATATCTGGGGATATAGACACAAGTGTTAAGTTTTTTGTATGCACAGTGCCAAAGATGCTTATATTCGCCGAGGAACGCTTTCAATACGATGATGGTCTATAGCGATCTTGGTGCAACTGGTTGGAATGACCCTTTCGAAGCTTTGAAAGGCCCAAAATGGTGATCACAATGGCAACCGAAACCGATCAGCCAATCACTATGAGAGGTTTTATCGTCTGTATGTTGGTATTTGTGTCCGGCTAACAGGCAGAAAGCCAATGGTGCAACTTTCCCAGATCCATTGACTTTAGCTATACTCATTTTCACCTCAAGAAAAAAGGATATTTTGCAGATTGTTCATATGCCACGCAAATTAGTTCTTGCACAATTTGATTGTCGGAGAAAGAAGCAAAGCATTTGGCATTTGAAACTTGTATGTTATGATAAGATAACGAATATCTTCCAAAAATGCACCTACATATATCTTAATTCTCCACATAAAGGGGAAAATTAGTAATGCTCCGCAAGAAGCCGGACTTCTTTTACTGTGGCTCTTGAGCTGAAAACAAGAATAGACTCCGTATAGGAAAGGAGGAAACTAAGATCACATAAACTGAGAGGAAACTTCCAGGAAATCGATGCTGAACCTCAACCTCTGAGGCACTGTTGTCCTTGACCCTGCTTTGTGTGCAGACATTGAGAAGGGCAGATTACACAGCAGTTGAACCTTTTATTTCAAATAAAATGTTTGTATATATATTTATATATTGACAGCAGAGTGGGCAAAGAAAAACTTTTTGTATTGAAAATAAGAGAAAAAAAAAAAGAAAGAAGAGGTTCCCTCCTTCAGGTAAATGACGGACAAAAAGATTGAAGGGCACAAAATGAAGTAACGAAAAAACTAGAGGCGCAATGGTAATTAGTACTCCTTATTACATGGTAAAACTAAAAAAAAAAAAAAGTGACTGTGGTCTTTAAACAATGATGCTGAGGGGTCGCTTCACTTCCCCCTCCCTCTGTAGGGGAAGAGAGTCAGTCTTTCTCGCTTCGGGGTAACAACAGAAAGCCGAAAGATGAAAGTGGAGGCAGGGGCTGATGAGCACGTCCGTAGTTTGTTTCATCGTCACAATCTTCGTACTGCTTGAGAGAACAGACAACTTATTGATTTGGTGTGCAGCTAGCCCCACATGCACGAAATAATGATGAAAATCTTGACCGCACATCCACACATGGTCTTCACAGAGGCAGACAGGTTAGGCCATATTGCTTAGTCGATGTCCCTGGGGTGCTGACATTATTGTTGCCGACATTAATTCCGTTCGCCTCTTTCGGAATTCAGAAATGCGTGTCACAAAACAAAGCATATGTGACTTGCAGACCGCTTTCAACAGCAAAAAAAAAGAAAAAAAAAAAACAAACTTGGATTGATTTTTCATGCATGTTTGTCGGGGAGTGCTGCAAAACAACAACAAATCAGGATCCCCATTTTGTGCGCAAGCTTTCTCTCTCTCTCTGAACAAAAGAGAAGCAATAACAGGAAAACAAAGTTCTTACACTTCTAAGCATATCTAGCCTTCCTTTGTGATCCAAATATAATGCTTTCCCGCTGGTTTTATTTCCCCTCAGAGATTGCCTATCATGGCATGTTGGTGTCAGCTTTGCTGTCACTTGTCATTGCATAGCGTTTTGAGTGTCAGATTGCATTGCTAAGCCTCCCCAAACGGCCTTCAACCTCAACCAAGGAGTAAGCTGCCACATGTATGGAAACAAACAGAAACAGAAAAGCCGCAAAACCGATTTCTGTTATTGTTCTCAGACTGATCTCTCGGAGGTGATTCAGATCTCAACCTGTGCAACTCAAAAGCAGCTGGTATGTACAAAAACATAAATCATGGGACAGGGAGAACCGTTTCTCTTGCTTGACGCTGAAAAGAGACAAAAAAAAAAAGTTGACGCTGGATGTTTTGTTGGTGTGCGTGTCTGATGAGAAGTGCTTCAGCCGCGTGAGCATTCACGCCTCTCTGCCTTTTTCCCCTCCTTTCGCATTAACCTTCTCAGCCTCCTCTTATTGCAAACCAACTATGGGATGATGGAAAACTTGCACTGAGCCTTCTTGGCCAACCCACGTTGAGAATTGTTAGATGACGGCGACGTGCCCCACCCAGGCCGACAGTCCGAGGTATGGGCATTCGCGTGCGAGTGAGTCAGAACGTGAAAGATCGAGATCCTCGATTGATTCTGAGTTCCTCTTCCCTTCTATGAGTGTGCCAATTAGTTTCCCTCGGTCAAAGGACACGGCAAGAAACCGTTGTCCTGTACACCGTTGAGTGGTTTCCTGTCCCAAACGGCGACGAATTTTGTGCAGGCTGGATCGTCGTACACTTCGTGTGGCTGCAATGACAACCAGTCCGTCTCGATTTGTCGTTAGGAGTCTTCGAAGGAAGGCTGCGCCGATGGCGGGTCGACCAGTGCTGTCGTCGATGGCAAGCGGGCTCCGTCGTGGTTCTCGTCAAATGTTGGCGCACGCGCAGTTGCCGCAAGAAACCGTGGGGCGTGGAGGTGGGGGGGTCGGGGGGAGGGTGAGGGGAAGGGGAAAGGGGCAGAGGCGAAAGGCGTGGCGATGTGCGGTTGCTGCAGGGGGTGGTGTGGCGGACAGGCCATCAGACCTTGATGGCGGCACGCACTTTGCCCTTGCGCACAGTGGCTGGCGAGCCCTTGAGCATCTTGAGGCAGTCCTGCTCACAGAGCACGCTCCCGTTGACCAAGTTGTACCGGTCGCCGGGCACCAGCTGGCTGTGGCACTTGACGCAGGCAAAGCACTTGACATGGTAGACATTTTGGGCGGCCCGCATCACGTAGTCGTTGGCCGGGATCATCTGGCCGCAGCCCGAACAGGCGCCCGACGTGCCAAACAACCTGCAAGGAGCAGAAGGAGTCGGAGCAGGGGTGTGAGGATCATCAACAAAGCCAGGCAGTACGACTTGGACGTGTCAATCAAATAAACAAAAGAAAGAAACGCATTGAATCATTGGGGCCATCCGAGATCTGTAAAGAGCGGACAAAAGTCATACTAGTTGGGACACTTCTGTGCCAGAAGGTAGAAACTGCCACAGACACTGTTCAATTGCTTTGGCAACTTCTATGTTCTGGCAAAATGCAGGTTCATCTTCACATCGTTCCTGTTTCAACACCAAAGCGCTAATGAGCAAAACAATCCTAATTTGTATGATTTGTTAAAACTCAAATCGTCCACATGGTCAATTAAAAAAAAGATGGCATTATTCCATGTGCCGTTAGTAACTAGAGAATTGTCTATAACGCGCGAGCGTGCGGCTTTCTCCGGGGAGCGCTAGACTGGTGGCATTCGTGGAAACTAAGTAGTCACGTGGCACAACATGGAACGGCCCGCTCGAGGGTTGTCCTGCATACTCTATCAGCTTGCGGCGAACGCGGATGGCTGCTCGCTGCTCGCACGCTTTTTACAAAAATCATTGCTCGAACAATAAACAAACTAAAGCATGAAGGCATATCAACGATGTCATCATCAAAAAACAGATATATATCATAAAGCACTTTACTTTCATCGCTTATCAAGCTGCTATAAGGCTTGCTACTATGCAAAAAACAAAAGTGTATCAATTGACCGGATTCAACAGGACTGCGCATAGATAAGCGGTCAGAAGCGAGCGTGAAGCGTGCTGCGAGCAGCCTTCCAAGTTCGCCGCCAGCTGATAGAGTGGGCAGGACGACACCCCTCGAGCGGGCCGTTCCATGTTGCGCCACGTGACTAGCATAGTTTCCGCGAACGCCACCAGTCTAGCGCTCCCCGGAGAAAGCCGCACGCTCGCGCGTTATAGACAAGTGTGATTAGCACTGTACATCTACAGCGCCGAATCTGATAATTGTAAGCACCTAGCGTCCGACAGAACACACACACATCGCTCTGTCCACGTGTCGCGCGGCGCGGAAGAAGAGGGTGGTCGCTGGCGCACCAAGATACCGAGTTCGCCGAGACAGCTGAGACGGCTGCCTTGACTGGTGCCCGAGATGCCCATGAGGATAGAAGACAGCAGCCGCCCTTCCCAATTCAAAAGGGGAAAAAACCGCGGTTGTGGAGCATCCAGCCGTTCCAACTACGCAAAACATGTCTGCGCCAAAACCACTGGATCTTCGCGTAGTGAGGTGTATTTCCATACCAATGTAATATTTGCCCCAGAATAAAGAGAAATGAACATTTTCAGAGGGACTACTACTGCCCGTGACTGCGCTGATAAATGAGCGGCATTAGTTCTTGTCAGTTACAAATACATCCGTTACAACGAAACGCTCCTCTTAGTGGTGGAAAATGCAAAGTTGTAGAGTAAAGGCCGATACATATGCGCCACTAAATGTCCAACGGGTCATACGACGCGTTGGCACCCCTACGATAAGATGTAGCCAAGGATCAAATAAACTGCCCGCTTCCTGAAGTCTCATCGTCGCGAAGCTCTGCGACTTCCTAGATCGACCTTTCCCCTCGACATAACTATTCCCCCGGCGTCCCCCACCTGGCCTCCTTCATCATAAAGTGGCCGCCGCCATGTTTTCTTATCCCTTTCTTCCTGCGGACCCCCGATCGCGGAGGTCCGCAGTACTAAAACGCGACGATAACCAGCCGCGACCGGGAGGGCGGTGCGGCAAACGGGCGCGAGCAAGCGCGCGCGCGGCGCGGGCTCCCGCGCGCGCTTGGACCAGCGGCCAAGCTTCCAGTTGTAAAATGAGATCGAGTAACACGGGAATGTAGCTCTGCCACAGCAGCCGCTGTTGCCGTGCCAGGGTCCGCTGGTTCTCTTGCTGTTGTTGGTATTACCATTATACATATAGGCGGCTGCCCCTCGATATGAGATTTTTGCCCCCCCCCCCCCCCCCCCCCCCCTTCTCTATACCACCACAATCTTCCCTTCCCCCCGTGCCCCTCCTCGCCGCGCCCGCCGCTATTCTCCGCACCCTCTCATCCCTCACCGAAAAAGGGAAAGGAGGAAACCAATTTCGGTGATCGGAGGGGGGGGGGGGGGGGGGGGGGGGGCACTGACGCCGCTGCCGTTCGCCGGTGATATATATATATTGATGTATATCTCTATATGAGAAAGACAGACAGACGTACTGCTGTTCGTTGGGTCGTATCGCCTCCGCCGCCGCCGGACGGAAAGGTTTGTGCGCTCAGGTTCGGAGCAAATAATACGCCGTCCCTCTCCCCTTCCTCCTCCTTCCCCAAAGCCTTCCCGTATCCCTCCTCGGCAAGATACGCAGCGGCCTCCGAGTAATATGGGTTCCGCTCGAGCCCCCGGGCACTCCTAAATTTTGTCCCCCACTACCCTTCTTTGGCCCCCACGGTAAAACACGTCCCGCTCCCCCTACCAGATACCCTCCTCTCGTCGTGGCCTTCTTGTTTTTGGACACTTTTCCTTTTATTATTTATTTATTCATTTGGAAAAAGGAGGGGGGCGAGACTCCGTTAGCGTTCACGCTTCGAAGCTCTTTGTAGTAGTACGACTACACACGCGATGGTCTGCGCTAATGTCGACATCGTGTTAATGGATAATCTATATATTTGCTTAGAGGGAAAGTCCCTCCCATGTTCCTCCTCTCCCATATTCCCGCTCTCTCACCCCCCCGTACTGAATGTCGGGGGAAGAACGAAAAGATGAGATCGGAAGGGGCGATTAAGTGCACAATTCGGTCAACCTCGAAAGAGATTGCTTTCCCATCGTAGTAGCGCTCAAACCTCGCCCGCTCGGCTATTCCATATATAAGTGCAACGGTCGTACTTTTAGGACAAGGTAACAAACACAAACAAGCAAATGTGCAACACCAATGTTTAAAAAAGAAAAAGTTTTAGCTGCATAAATATCTTACTAGCCCGATTATGCCGTCTAATCACAGGATCGCACAAAATGATTGCTTATGGGGATTTCTGTCTGGCAACGAATCATACGCGGCAAAATTATCCCTGAATGGCAGGAGAGACGTGTTCTCCGCGAAATCCTCGAGGTCCAAGGAACTGACCAAGGATATCGAAGAACCTGTCCACAAGTGAAAGAGAGACTTTTCGAAACTTGAGCAAGCAACGTTGGCAATCGCCATTTCTAGGGCACGAAGCTTGCCATTCGATCCGGGTCCTCGCCGCACGCCAACGCGGCCTTCGTGCTCAAACAGTGGCGGCCTCGGGAAATCAGCGTAGCAGATATAAGAGAAGGCAAGCAGTTTTCGAAAGAGCACCAGGTTCCACTTACTATCGTTTTGGAGGAAAACTGAATCCAATTTATTATAATAACGCCAGCACTACCCAAATCGTCCGCACGCACTGGCAAAAGGCGTCGCGAATGCGATGGAATCATTTCTGCTCTGTTTCGAAAAGAGGTAGCCCTCCGAGGGCGTGCAATCTCGACGATTCATCGGTTACGCAGGCCCGTGATCAAAGGACCTTTTCATTTCTGTATTTTACTTTTTGTTTTTGTTGGAAACAGCCGTCTGCTGGAGCAACCTCCCTGATCGCATTGTTACTGAGTTTTTTGCGCTCTTATTTGTAGACATTAAGTTATTATATGACTTGTTACTGACTCATTCGTGTTTTTGCTTCGGTAGTTCCGATTGATTTTATTGATTATTCATCGATTTGTTTTTGGTCCGATTGTTTGCATCGGTGATTCTCCTGTTTTTAATTTTTTCAATGAATGTCCCCCCCCCCCCCCCAATCCTCCTCCTTCCCCCCCTACATAATGCCCTTAGCAAAAGGACCTTTACATTAAAATAAATAAATGGAAAGAAAAAGAAAACAAAAATGTATTCGTTTATTGGCGCCAGTATTAATTACCTCGAGGAGCGCTAAAATGAAATCGATCTATCAGGGTGACCGCGGCCGATGCCTTTCTCGAGAAATATTTGAACGAGATGTTTACTCCGAGAGCAATTTAGCGGTCCGGTAATAAGGGAGCAGACGATAAACCCGTTTGGAACTGGCCCAGACGCCCCGGGCCCCCTCTCCCTTCCTGACCCAAATTCTCTTCCGGGATTGGTCGCTCGCCGAGCCACGTCATGAGAAAACCACAAGCAGCTGCGAGGCTTTCCCTCATCAAACACGCCGGCGCTATTCTATGCAGTCCTCCCAAGTCGCTCTAATGAACGAGTCGGGGAGTTGGCGCAACATCCAAGTGTTGCCGTACACCTGTTATTTCCAGCAGATCAGTGCGTTTTTTTTTTGTTTTTTTTTTTTTAACCCCTTGTTTTGGTTTTACCGAGCCTCTTATTTGCGGCTGTCACGATACAAACCGAATAGTTGTATTATGACGGATGTATGGCGGGCTAGAAAGAGAAGTGTGACGATCGCGCGCGCGAGAGCGCTCATGCAATTCAAGCACAAACCAGAGCATGATCCGTACGCGGGAAGCAACGCGACCTTTCACTGGGGCCTAAAAGGGAAGATGCTGACAAAAAATGGGCGGATTGAGTATCGTATGACCATCTGTAGAGGTATTGCTCAACCGTAAATGGGAACACCATTTTTTTTTTCTTGCCTGCTCCGCTTTCGTATTATTAGGACAGAATTTCCCAAATTCACCGATCTTTGCATTGTATCGCAACTCCAGCCCGCCGCTCGCCCTCCCGCGGACGAGCGGAGAACTAGAGGAACGGGGACTGCAGCGGCGGCGCGGAAAAGGGCTGTCGGCCTTGATGCGTGAAGCCGTTTTAGCGAAAAAAGTGAGCGCGTTAAAATAGGAATTCTTGCGCTCTGCCTCGCAACAGCGTTGCATGAAGGACCGTGATGTTTAATTTCATTAGGGACTTTTCATATATCGAATACGCTTTAGATTTCTGGTCTTGCACATGGCCGCCAGCTCAATCTGTGCTCAACGTGACGGCAAACGCTCCCGCTACTC